CACAAAGAACACGACGGCAGATAGGGCTGATGGCCCCGAGCAACGTGCTCCTGATACTCTTTATCCTCCAGTGGAACATGAAGTTCCCCTTCTTCAGAAATATCCCCAGCATCTTCAGCAGCAGGCTCGGCTTCAACAACCGGTGCTGGAGCTGAGGCTTGGGCGGGTTCCGCCTGCCTTGGTGGATCACCATCCGGAATCAACTCTTCATCGGAAATCGTCACTTCCACCGGAAGTCCACGCATCATGCACAAACGGTGTGGCGGCTCAGACACTTTCTCATCACAGCCACCTTTCACCTTCAAAGGCTCCGACCTTAGGTCATCCCAGCCACAAGCACAACACAACCACAAGCCACGCACACGCTCCAAGCCACAACAGCACAAGGACCGCAGACGCCGCACACCAACCAGCACAAAACACTCCACGGCTTCAGAGGCTCTCGGTGCTTTGCTGGCTCTCGGTGCTTCGGGGGCTCTCGGTGCTTTGCTGGCTCGCGGGGCTTCGGCTTTCGGTGCTTCGGGGACTTTCGGTGCTTTGCTGACTCTCGGTGCCTCGGTGACTTTGGACGTTTTGGGGGCTTGGGCTCTCGGGGCTTCTTGCACGTACCCTGGCAGACACACTCGCACAGAGGGCCCCAAGGCTTTAAGTAGAGCCTGAGCCTTTCTCACAAAACCCTCGCAAAACACTTGCAGCACGTCACTGGGCCTCCAGGCTTCTGTGGGGGTCTGGGCCTCACACTCACTTGCAAAACCCTTCCCAAAAACCCGTAAAACCCTATAGCGCTGCAACCTCAGAACTTCACCCTTTCTACCGAGCACACCCGGACACTCACCACACTCAAAGCAACCTACTCTCGCAGACGATCGCTTCCACTTCCTCTTAAAACGCATCTTTTTGCACCCTGCGGTTGGTCGCACGGTAGGTCTCAGATAGAGACAGAGCGGGAGCGCCTCTTGGAGCCGCGTCCATGTTGCGTTGACCCTTGGTCTGGAGGGCCATACGAACCACCGAGTACCCGTTGTGTTGGGCGGATCGGTGCCTTGCTCTTTGGATCGGTCGGCGGGGCTTGCAGCAAAAGCGATCTGTGGTATCCCAGAGGCGGCTGCGGTCCCAGCAAAAACGATCCTTGGTACCCCAACGGCGGGGGCGGTAACGGCGGCAGCGGCACTGCTGGCGCTGCTGGCGCTGGCAAGGCCGGCATAGCCTTCACAGGCACCATCTTCGGAGGCGCCACCGGCCTCACTGGCATCGCCTTCACTGGCACCAAAGCAGGATCCACTCCAGGGGTCTCCGGTGCCGCTGGCACGGCTCTTTTCGAAGGCTTCGGTGGCGAGGGAGAAACTTTGGCCGGCGACCTGGACGGTTTCACTTTGGGCGGCGGTGGCCCATCCGGAATCACAATAACGGCCGGCTTCAAGGTCACAGCCGGCCTGGTCACTGTCTTTGGCTTTGGAGCCAAACGAGGCTTTCCACGTGGATCTGAGGGCGCCGGTGTCATCGGCACCTCCTCCTCGGCAGCAGCTGGTGCCACCTCTTCCACCACAGCCTCGGCCGCGGCTTCCACAACCGCTTCGGCAGCGGCGTCCACAACCGCTTCGACAGCAGCCTTCTTCTTCTTCCGCTTTTTCTTCGCAGGTACAGGAACAGCTTCTTGGGCATCGACCGTGGTTTCCGCAGTCCCCACTGCCACAAGGAGGTCCACTGCACCCTGCTCCGGCTCCTGGGCCGGCCGTCCTTCGGATCTTTCGTCCAAGCGGCTTTGCACCCATTCCAGGGCACCTTCGGCAAGCGCCTTGCCCTTCGCTACAGCACGGGCGTGCTGCTTCTTTCTCACAAGCCGCTTGGCCTTCACGACCTTCTTCTCCGTCCGCACCACCTGCATCAGCTGGCGATTGTAGCCCATCGTCACTGGACCACCATCCGCTGGCTTCCGCTCGGGCTTCCGGGCCTTCTTCTTCGAGGTGGGCGCGACAAACAAATGTGGATTCAGAAAAGTAGGGTCCACAGTGTCCGCCTCGGCTTCCTCGGCTGCTGCAGCCTCCTTTAAGGCCTTCGTGGCCTTCTTTGCCGCACCACGGACCTCCTTCAAGGCCTTCGTGGCTTCCTTTGTCACACGAGATGCCCGCTTCTTCTTGCGCTTGGGCACTTTCTCGACGGCTTTCTCTGCAGCATCCAGGGCCTCGGCAACGTCCGTGGCCACACCAGACTCGGGGCGCCATTTGCCCCAGCCTTCTTCCTCTTCTTCCTCCAGCTTTGACGGCAGCGGTGATTTCTGCAGTGGCGATTTTGGCTGTGAAGGCACTGCCATTTTGTGCCACTCGCGAGAAATTTTGGTGAGCTCGTCGTGCTCCTCCATCATTTGCCGCTCGCTTCCTCTCGAGCCGTGCTTTCTATCACCGATGCGACCGTCACCATATCGGATCGTCGGGCAGACGCAGCGCTCTTCATAGCGGTGAGGTCCGCCATCCTCTGAGCCATAATTGCCGCCTGCGACGACCTTTCTTCCTCGTCCGTCGAGGATACCGGGGGCTCCGGCTGCTTCTTTCGTCGACGCCCCATCGCACAAAACGAGGAGCGTGAAAAACAGAAGCTTGAGCACCAAACTACGATGCACGACCCTTGCGCACCCTTGCAGTCTCCACTTGAAACCACCTTGCACAGACCTCGCGCACTCACTGCCTTGCAGCTTACGCCGTACTGACCTCGCGCACTCACTGCCTTGCAGCCTACACGAGGAACCGCCTTGCAAATCCTGACAAAACCCTGGCCCTGAAACCTTGCACGCACACTCCCTCACGACACGCACTGCACTACCTTGCAGCCTCCGCAGGGAACCGCCTCGCAAATCCTGAAGAAACCCTAACCCTGAAACCTCGCAAGCACACTCACTCACTAAGGTCCACAGGGAGCACAGCACGCCAACGCAAGCCATGCACCACAAGCTCACAACACTTATCATCATCGACCCAGCGGTCCACGACGGCTGAGCCTCAGAATCTTTCTTGCCACTTCTGCTACCACAGCCAAAGCGGTCAAGCTCACAGCGTTCAAGAGACTCCAGAGCAGCACCCTCACAGACCGAAACGGCACTACCACCGTGCGTCCTCAAGCTCCTCAGCAGAAACTTAAAAGGCGTGTACTCTAGGCTCTTCACAGACTCCAAAGACCTTTGCTCCTGAGCTTTCTGGGCTTTCTGGGCTTTCGTGGCTTTCGGGGGTTTCACGGTTTCAGGCTTTTCCGTGGCTTTCGGGGGTTTCGTGGTTTCAGGCTTTTCCGTTGCTTTCGGGGACGACGAGGGCTTCAAAGCATCAACCTCCATCTTATCCCCAGAATCCTTCAAAGCAGCAACCGCGTACCAAGCGCGATCCTTGACAGTCAACCGAATGCGTTTCTTGTTCTTCTTGTTGAAAATATGAGGTGTGTTGGTGAGCATGGTGTGCCATCCTCTCTGCCAAGCCACAAACGGTGACAAGACATTGAAATCTAGGTTCGTGATCAAGCAATGCTCTAGCACCACCACAAGCTTCCCAAAACGAACGCGAACGTCACACACCTTCAACACTTCAATCATGTCGTTGGAGGCATTCGACAGCGTGGGCTTAAAATCATAAGTGCGAAGGACTTCATACTTCTCGAAGCAGGAGACCGACATGCAATGAGAAGTAGCACCGCTATCCACTAGCCAGTAGCTATCTTGCGACTCAATGCCAACTAAGCACACTCTGTGCTCAACGGTCACTCGGTGCGCCGCAGCAGGCACCTCAGGTGTCGAAGGAGTCGTCCTCAAGACGCCACCGCGGGCATCAACCGGAATCAACTCGCCAGAAGCGCGAAGGGCCATCACAGTCTCTCCCTCCGGCTCCTCTTCTGCTTCGCCATCCGCTACAGCACGGGCGTGCTGCTTCTTGGTCTTCTTGTCCTTGCCCTTATCCTTGCCATGCTTGCCTTTGCCTTTCTCTTTGCCCTTTCCTTTGTCTTTGTCGCCCTGGCCTTTGCCCTTGGGCTTGTTGCTCTTGTCGCCTTTGCCCTGCTTCTTCTCATCTGCGATCCTCTGGCGGCACTCTTCTTGATAGTGCCCTTTCTTCTCGCAGTACCAGCAGACAATCTGGGACTTGTCCTTGGCACCGCCGGCTTTTCCTCCTTTCGCGCCTTTGCCGTCTTTCCCGCCTTTGTCTCCTTTGAGGCCACGCAAACCACCACTTGGCAGCTCAACCATGCGCAGCTGCTCCTCGTAAAAACGAAGACTCTCCGCCATCTCGGTCCAACTGCCAGTCTTGCCATGCAGCACCAAGTACTCTCTCGCTTGCACTGACACAGCTTGCAGCAAAATGGCCGATCTGTCGGCGGCGTTCAAGCAGAGGTCGGGAAACGCACCAGCTTTTTATCTCCCTTGGAGATTTCGTCCTCGAGGAAACGCACAACTTCCAGAGGGCGCTTCAGCGCTGCAGTCTTTGTGTGGAGCTTTAGCATTTCGTCTCCGATATACACCGCCTCCGTTAAAAACCTACAAGGCGAACAGCCCTTCAGGTTTAAGGCAAACAAGTTCCAAGCACCCTTGCAAGCAAAGCAAGCTCACAAAACACTCGGACAGTTCACACTTTCAGCACGCACAGCTCACTGCTGGTCTCACGTGTCTTGAGCCAAACGACAGTAGTCGTGGCACCTCTTAAAAGCTCCCAAGCACTACAAAACAAGGGAAAACAGGTTGAGGCTACCGCAAAACCGTCACGCAAGCTCAAACTACGTTCTACAGGCACTGACCACCTGAAACTAGCAAAAAACTGTACAACTATACAGGTACCGAGGAAAACTCTGTGTCGCACCTAAACACTACTGGGCAGAGCACTGGTTTTCTACACCCCCCCACGACGCAGAAGCTGTCGGAGGTACCAGGTGGAGTTCCCTTAAACAGTACTCGCACGCCACTTTAGTAGCGATGCGATTCGGAATCGCGTTCCTGAGGCCGTGGCAGTCCCTACGCACGTGGAAACAGTCTCCGTAAGCAGAAGTAAAGACAGCCATCTTCTGGCCCGACCTTGGCAGAAACGAAAGAAGGTCCTGCACAGTCTTGACGCGGGAGCTCTCGGTACGCAGTTTCTGCAAGCACACTCCAAGCGCAACACCCACAAGCAGTGGGACAAGCACAACAGCGAGAAGCCCTACACTCGGAACTTCGAGAAGCTTCTCTTGTACTTCCACAACCAGGCCAAACACCATGGCACGCTCGGCAGCGAAAGGGACCAGAGACATCTTAAACGTCCTGGCAAAGAAAGAAAACACCGGAAAGTTTGAGCAAACGGGCTGCGCAGCAAACATGTAGCAACATGTCCTCGACAACGACAAGACTCTCGTAAAAGTCAAGAGCGCAACGCTTCGAAGAAGGACTTTACAAGCTCTACCGGGTAGTGCTGTGTATTCTTGAGGTCGAAGTCCTTCGAGTGCTCATGCTTCCCAGAGCAACGATAGACACGAATGCTCTCAGCGACTGCTGGGTGTGTGGTAACAACACGCCATCGCTTGGCGATCAGAAGATGATCGCGGCCACGCATATCAAGCGCACAACCATCAACTGGAACGTCGTGCAAAACGTAGGGGCGTGAGGAAAGAAAATGCTCAGTCTGGCGCCAAGACCAGTAAGCACAAGCACGCGGCCACTCAATGGCCCAAGCATGCACAAAGCTAGTAAGCTCGACCAAGCTTCTCCAGAGCTTCCGGTGAAGCCTCCAGTGCTGAGCCAACCGCCCTCGGCGATAAGCTGGATCACGGGCACGCAGTCTCTGATACGGGCAGCCTCCTGTGCACGGTGTACTAGCCCACAAGAAGACAAAACCCTTCTTCTTGATCTGCTCAGCAAAGATGGCTTTGAGCTCAAGCAAGGTCTGTGCACTGGCACCATCATCACGCTCACTCACAGTAAGCACATTCACCCAGTTTAAGTCCTGGCTAGCCGCTCTCATCGATGATTCAACGGGGGCACAGAACTCGATCACCAACCAAGAGGCATGCGGCATGGCGACAAAACGGTCACGCAAGCTAACATGGTTCTTACCAACAAGCATTGCACCGCACAACGCAACAAAGCCATCAAGCACACACGCAATGACGGCAACGTCACGCAAGCCAAGTCCCCACATGTGCTTCAAGGTAACAGTCCAACTCAGAGGTTTGGTGAACAAATCTGCAACATTGGCTTCACCGCGCACGCCAAAGATAAAAATCTGCTTTTGCCTGAGCTGGTCTTGGATAAAGCACGCCCTAAGGTCAATGTGCCTCACCTTCCTCAGCCCATCAGCCTTGCTGATAGCAACTGCAGCCTCGCTGTCACAGAAAAGATGGGGCTTTGGCAGATCTGCCCATCCAAAGACATGCGAGATGGCGCGGCGGATAGAGAGAGCCTCTTTCGCGCCCTCCACAAGCCCATAGAGCTCGCTCTCGGCAGAACTCAAGGCAACAGCCTGTTGCAGACGACTCCAGGCTTTCAAACAGAAGCCTCCCAACATCACGCACCCTCCGCTGATGCTCTTCCTGTCAACATTCTTCTCGCTACCCCAGGAAGCGTCCACATAGCAATCAAGGCGCAGGTTCTCTTCATCAACCGGGTTCACTACCTGCTTAAAACCCTGAATATACTTCAAGTAACGCAACATAGCTCTCATAGCTCTCTCGTGCTTTCTCGAGTGGATTCGCCTGGCCTCGGGCCAGCATGCTCACGTAGTAGACCACATCCACCCTCGTCATCGCAAGCCATGACAGCCTTCCCAGGGAACTGCGAAACCTCGCAGCAGCTTCAGAAGACAGGGGTTTCTCCAAACAAGGATCTTCTTTGTCGTACAACTCCTTTAGGTTGGGCGGCGTGCCACACGCGGTCACCTTGGAGTTCCCGAAGAAACCCTTGTAGATTTCCTCGTAGTAGGAATCGGACATGGTGACACACAGGGAGTCACTAGAATGCTCTCGGGCAATCTGTCTTCCAAGAAAGGTGATCTGACCGTCGCGGTCCAGATCGGCTGTGACCTTCACCTTCACAGCGGTCTTCAGCTGCTCCACCACATGGTAGATAGCTTCATCGCTGTCTCCTGTGATGAGAAGATCATCAACGTAGCAAAGAACAACCACACGCTGGCCTCCAAGCACAGAGCCTGAAAACAAACAAGCCTCAGTCTCACAGGGTTCCAGGTCACAGAGCTTCTTCAGCAGCTTTGCCAGGTGACGCGACCAGGTCTGAGCTGCGACTCTTAGACCATATAGGGCCTTCTTAAGGCGCAAGTAGCCACGGCGGCCGTCCTTGCCCTTCACTCCGTCTGGCAGCCTGACCACAATGTGGCCATCTTCCTCGTCGAGGTCCGCGAAGAGAAACGCAGTGCTCACATCCAACCCGACGATGTTCCTCCTCTTGGAACCCGCGTAGAAAAGAAAAGTTCGCAGCGCTTCTGCAGAGCTTGTGGCAGCAGAGATGCCAAGCTGTGCCGCGGTCGCTCCCTGCGCAAAGTCACGAGCAACTACCCGACACCTGACAAGCGGATTCTCCTTCCCCTCAACACGCTCTACTTTGGCATTGGAGACCCATCTTGTAGAGATCACCTTCTGCTTCGGATCAACATGCCACACAACATCACCGACAGCAAGCGATTCAAGAGCACGAAGTTCACGCAACATGCCTTCATAGGTCAAGCCAATATCAAGCAGGTGCCCCGTCACATCATCCTTTGCAGAAGCTGGCACTTCGACAAGCAGCTTCTCCCCCCCAAGCTCGACAACCTGAGGAGTAACAACCTTGGTGGCGGCTCCTGCAAAACAAACCGACGCACCAGCAAAGGAGATGGACTCTCGGTATATTACACTGGACACCATGGCCTCCCGCTCTTCTTCAGGGAGTGCCTCAAGAGGTTCAGGATCAACTTGCATGAAATCAAGCTCGCCTGGGCTCGGGGCCTCGATCTGCTCGAGTTCTTCTCCAAGCTCTACTTCATTTTCAACTCCAGGCAGACTGGGCTCATACTCAGCCAAATCCTCATCCAACGGAAAATTCGGGAACGGATCAAGATCATCCGGCACCTCAAGCCCAAGATCAACACCAAATCCAGCACCCAAATCATCACGCCCGGCCACTTCTTCTTCAATTGGGGCCTGATCGAGGATTGCCCGGCTGGGATCGAAAGAGTTTCTCACAAACTCAGCGTATCGATCACGGCACTTCTGGGTGTGCCAGGCCTTATCTGCTGGAAAACCGCGCAGCCGGCAAGCTCGGCACCTTGGGGTTCTCCCGTTTTCTTCAATCCACTCTGGTGGTGGTCCTCGGGTTGCGGTGTTCGGCAACGGGAGGTCGCGCACATTGTCACCACTGCTCTCGGGGAGCTTCTTCTGGGAATCATCCTTTCTTCCGGGCAACATGCGACAAACACCTTTCAAGCTCGACACCTCAAAAGTGAGAGGAACCAACATCCGGATTCTTGCGCTTCTCGCAATCTTCAAAGTGCCATCCCGCAGCCTAAACTGCACAATGTGGCTTCCACTTCCGACCTCTGGTCCAAGGTAGGCGGCGTGGCCGTAACGGCCGGTGATTTTATCACGCAAAGAGGGAGGAGGAGTGGCAAGCACAGCAGCACCCCAAACATAGGCGGCATGCGGTCCACGGGTGGTCTTCAAGCACCGCTGTTCTGGGGACAGCGCTGATCCAGGATGCACCTGGTACCGGTTGTAGACCTGGGCAACGTGCATCAAAAGATACGTAACACCCTTCCCGCAGGGCTCCAAGCCGACCTGTTCCAACCCAGCACACAGTGTGTTTGCACCTTCCTTGATGGTCCTAACCGCACGCTCTGCAACAACAGCATGCCGACCAACAGGGGCATCCACAACCTCGATGGCACCAGCGGTCAAACCATCAGCAAAACTTTGCGCAAGGTTCTTCACAACACCCTCAATGTCCGACTTCACACTCACCGTCAACTCACTGGGAGCAACACCAACCAAGCCAACGCTACGACTCCATGCCGACATGTCACTCAACATGGCTTCCTTGGCTGCTGGGCCTCGGGATCCGCTCACCTCACGATACGGAACCACACCGAGGGCAAAAGCACCAACCAAAACCAACACCAGGAAGGCGAGGCCCTTGTAGAAAAACTTATCTATCTGCACCTCTCTCATCCCTGAGTCCTGGGGCCGATCCTGGCTTCTGGCGGGTTCAAGCCCACGACCTTGCACGCACTGCGGGCAAGACGCATTGTACGGCACATGCGATCTAAGAACATGTTCTCGCTCTAGCTTACCCCAACTCTCCTGCAACAACAGTTCCCGATCCCCTCTAAGCAACCATGCTTCACTCTGGCTATCATGGGCCTCGCTCCGGTCACGCTGTGGTCGGTCCTGGCCAACATGCTCAAGCAACTCACCATGCTGCAAATCATGCTCACCCAAACCACCAACACATGCATGCTCACCAAGCTCAACGGCAACATCATGCTCACATGCAAACGCAACCTTTTCTTGCATCAGAAGCGAGAGTCCCAAGGAAGAAGGACCATCGGATATTCCTGGATGGTGGGCGTCCTCGGAAGATTGGCGGGCGTCCTTGGAGGATCCTTGTGCACCGCCATGGCTCACTCTATCTCGATGCTCTCGAGCTCCACCACCTCGCCCCGCGAGTTGTAGATCTTGCCGTCGTCCCCGATGTGCAACTCCTCGGCTCTCCTCTCTGCTGGGGGCTCCTCGGCTCTCGTCTCGGCTGGGGTTTCCCTGGCCCTTGCATCCACCGGCACACTGGACACTGGTGACCATGGCGGCAGACTGGACACAGGTGACCACTCTGAGGGCGCAGAGGCCCCCCGTCCGGCTGACCTCGGGTCTCTCGGTGGCGTGGGAAGCCTCCTCCGCGGCGGTACCGGTGGTGGGGGATTGATCTCCAAGCCTCCTTCCACCTTCAACTGTGGCACCTTCACTGCACGCGCGGCCTCCACCTTGGCTCGTGCTGGTGGCGTTCTCGGTTGCGGTACCATTGGCGATCCTGGTGGTCCTGGGGGTTCCTTGATGACTTCTGAAACCGTGACCTCCACGAAAGGAACTTCCAGGCCTTTGATTTGCGCGAAGTGGTCCTTGACATGTCTTTCCAATGTCCTCCGCACCGGAGGCCCCTTGTGCTCCTCGGCCTTCTTTTTCATGGCGTTGTTGATGGCCTTCATGAGGTAGCCCTGCTTCTTCTTTTCCTTGGCTCGCTGCGAAAGCATTCTCAGCGCAGTCTCCGTCTGCCCGGGAATCCCGCGCTGGGCCCGGCTCTTCAAGACGATCTTCCGGACCTTGGCTGGCATTGCCTTCACCACGGGCGGCTTGGGCTGCCTCTTCACCAGTGGCTGTGGTGGGTCCTTTGACCCCGAAGACGGCTCCGCCTTTGCTCTGGCCACACTGCCCTTGGGCTTCTTGACCTCTGGGACCCCGATCGCTTCGGCGACCCTCTTCTTGGCCTCTGTGGCTGCCTTCTTCTCCGCCTCCACGGCCTCTGTGGCTGCCTTCTTCTCTGCCTCCGTGGCCTCTGTGGCTGCTTTCTTCTCTGCCTCCTCGGCCTCTGTGGCTGCTTTCTTCTTTGCCTCGGCCTTGGCGGCTCTCTTCTTCTTTGCTTCCTCTGCTTCCTTGGCCCACTGGGCGCTCTCCTGGCGTTCCTTCACGAACTTCTCCGCCGCTGCTTTCGCAGCTGCCTTTGCCTGCTCTGCCGTCTTCTTCTTCACTTCCGCGGCTGGCACCAAAAGCAGGTTCTGGCCCGGCGTAAGACCCACCATCGAGGTTGCCGTAAAGGCGATCGTGGATCCCTCGAAATCCTCGTGAGTCCTCGTAACAGTCGCCGCGTGCTGCTCCGCCAGGTGGCGACGACCCGAAAGGCGCCACTCCTGCTCCGAGTCGGAGGAGGACTCCTCGGGTGCCCGGTTGCTCCTCCTCATCCTTCTTAGAAGGCCTTCCCGACGAAGGAGCACAGCCGTCACTACGCTTCAAGCTCGCTCGGGCGGCAACTGCAACGGAAAGGTCAAGCTCAACAGCACTCGAGAAAACCCATCCGCAATTGGAGACCCATCTCGTGCGAAGAACGTACCCAGCGGCCTCAACTTTAAAACTTGGCAGGAAATCCACAACCCAGCTCTTGCCCAGCAAACGCCCTAAGGACAGCAGGTTAAACTTCACAGGAGCAACAAGCACTTGGAGTTCTGTTACCACCGTCTCGCCCGAAACCAAAACGAAAGGAACCCTGACAACCGCAGACCTCCGAACTCCAATGCTGTCACCCGTTGCAGAAACACACTCACTGGCAGACTCACTGTGGCTCACAACGTGCACCCGGCTCAAAGTGTCCTCGTTGATGATGTGGGCCGACGCGCCGGAGTCAACGAGCCACCAATCCATGGTGTCATGCTGCTGGCTGGCTGCTGCTGTCTCGTGTGCTACCATGCCATGGTCAGATCTACCTACCACATGCAACATGCCATGCTCAACGACATTTTGAAAATCTGCAACAAAACGACCTGCTTCCAAGCTCAACTCTGGGGACTCTGCAAGCTCGACTGTGGTTCTGTCTGGGACCTGGTGGGACTCTGCAAGCTCGACTGTGGTTCTGTTTGGGACACCGCGGGACTCTGCAAGCTCAACTGTGGCTCTGTTTGGGTTGTCACAAGGAAAATTATCAAGCGCAACATGCAACATGGAACCCTCAAGCGCAACAGGCTCACCGCCTTCAAGCACAACAGGCTCCGACCAAGCACACTCATAAGATGCAACGAACTCCTCCCAATCCTCCTGGGAAAAATCCGAGCAATCATCCTCATCAAGCTCAACAACCGGACAACTCAGATCAACCGCAGCTGCGAAAATCTGAGGCTCCAAAGAGGCAGCCGCGACCTGCGGCTCAAGCAAAGCAGCTGCTGATGCTCTTTCCCTCTTGGGCTTGGGACACTTATTCGAGTAGTGCCCGAACTGGTCACAGTTGTAACACTTGACGTTCTTCAAGCGCTCTGCTTTCTCCTTCTCCTTCTCCTTGTCATTTCCAGAACCTTGCTTGCCGTCCTTTGCGGCTGCAGTCTTCCCCTTGTCCTTGCCTTTGTCCTTTCCACCTTTCCCTTTTTCTTCCTTTCCTTTCTCATTCCCTTTCTTGTTGTCCTTTCCTTTGTCCTTTCCTTTTCCTTTTTCTTCCTTTCCTTTGTCACCCTTCTTGCCCTTTCCCTTGTCTCCGAAGGTCAAAGCATTCGCGTGATCCTTTGCTGCTCCCTTTCCTTCCTTCTCTTGGAAATTCAGGATCTTAAGGTTGGCATCATAAAACTTCAAAGCAGTCTCAAGCTGGTCCATGGAGTCAACCCTAGCATGCAAAAGAACATACTTCTTCACTTCGACATCAAGGTTTCTCAAAACAATCATGCAACGGTCTGCCTCACTCAACGCAAGATCTGGAAACCCTGCGGTCAAGCGGGTAAACTTGGCAAGCTCCAACTGGATGTTTCGAAACATGTCAAGTGGACGATTGGCAGGAGTGCTCGCGCGGTACTGCAGGGCCTCATTCCGAAGCGTCGAAGCCTCGATGCGGCTCGCAACAGACAACTCCTGATGCAACCTCCTCATGCACTCGTACCCAGCTGGGGAGCCAAGCTGCTCCTTCTCTACTTGCTTAACCAAGTCAAGCCCACGAGCAAACCCTTGCAAAGCTTGCTTCAGGTACAAGAAGGTCCTAGTTGAACGCACGCTCTGTCCCTTTTCAAGCGATGACTGCTTGATGGTGACCTCAGAAGCAATCGATCGATGAAGCTCTTCCGGGATCCTATCATCAAAGAGAGCAATCCACGGCAGGAATTGCTCCAGGAACTCAGCCCATCCTTCGATCTCCGAGCGACGGCCTTTGCTCATCTTTCCACCATCAATCGCAGGCAGCTTAGGAACATAAGCTTCAGCTTTGGGATTCCTGATGGGAGCACCTCCCTCATCAACCTCCATTTTCCCCGACGAATCGGAGATGGAGCTAAGCTCTCCACCGTGGCCCTTGCCTCTCGCAGTAGGTGGCGCAGGCACTTCCCTGCTCACAAGAGCCTGAACTAGAGACGTAAGCTGGGCAACTTGCTGCTGCTGCTGCTGCACCGTCTGGTACAGAAACGTCTCCACGGTGGGCGGTGATGGTGCATTCACTGAAACTCCACCAAACTCTGGCAAACCTGGTGGGGGTGGCAACACACCTCCAAGAGGGTTCGGCGAGCCAGCTGGGCTTCCCACCACCGGGCTTCCGGTTGGATGCATACCCCGTTCCAGAGCCGACAAGTTCGACACCGGACTAAAGGCAGCACCCCGAGGCACACTGCTTGCTCTCGGCCTCTGGTAAGGCGGCGCAGCGTCTGACCTACTATTCCTTCGGATCATACCAGGCTCACCTGGCACATCACCGATGTTGAAGTAGCTTGGCCTGCCACGGCCTTCCATTTCTCACAAGCACAACCAAGCAAGCAACACGCCTCAAGTCAACGTATTGGGCTCTTTCTTTTGGTTGCAAGGCAACGAGCGTTCACCACGCTCCGCTACCACGTTAAAAACCTACAAGGCGAACAGCCCTTCAGGTTTAAGGCAAACAAGTTCCAAGCACCCTTGCAAGCAAAGCAAGCTCACAAAACACTCGGACAGTTCACACTTTCAGCACGCACAGCTCACTGCTGGTCTCACGTGTCTTGAGCCAAACG